GCAGGGGGACACCTGGTAGAGCTGCCGGTGACTCACCGCCCAGGACTGCGGAGGCTGATTCTTCTGCACCTGCACAGGCCCCATCCCAGAGTGTAAATGCCAGGCCGTGACCCCCGTCCCCATAAACGGCACGCACCATGTGATGGACTGCAGAATGGGACCCTGAGGGATTCAAGGGGACACAGATCTTGTATATTTGCCCCCACCTGCACCTGGGTAGAAGGCCTGTGGGAGCCACAAGCCTGACTCTTCTGTCACACACACGTTTGCTCTTTTCCCATTTCATGATGCTCCAGAGACCTGGATGGTGGTCCCTTCTGCTGAGGGAAACTGAGGCACAAGCAGGATGGTAAAGGCAGTGATGAGCAAGCACACACCAAAAACATGCATTCAGGCGTAGGACTTGTATCAGAAGGAGCTAATCCCGAGGGATGCCCTGTCCACTTGACCTTGGCCCCACACACATTACCCACACACAGGCTCCATGCAGGCACAAGGAGCTTATGGCATCTCCATGGCAGCACTGGAGTGACACAAAGGTAGAGTGCCCCCTCCCCTGACAGCTGCAGGGATTCAGGGAAGAGCTGTGCGGCAACCAGCCCACACATGTGCCCACACCCCCCTGCACCTGTCCCCACCAGAATCACCTGGCGAGGCTCCAGTTGGCCCTGTGTGGGTGAGTCTGTAGCTGAGTGCTGGGTGTGTCTGGGGAGGACACTGCCTTGGGTGAGCAACTCTTCCAGGACCTGGGTGTCAGCTGCCAGTGTAACTTCCAATTTTGTACTTTTCTTGAGGGAAATCTTGTCCAAGCTAAGAGTTGAGGTGCAGTTTGATTTGAGGGTCACTCAGTTGACTGAGGTTGTGGTGGGACCAAAGTGTGGGTTGGAGCTGGTTTGGGGGTGTGTGTGGGGGGTGTTGTGTATTAGGGTTGCTAGGTTGCAGAGCAGGGTGCTGATGAACTGTGAAGAAGGGTGCTACATGTGAGTGTCCAGCAAGAAGGTGGATTAGTCTACCTGGGCTGTGAGGGGCCCTGTGTGGGAGTCTGAGGTGGTGTTGTTTCTCCAGGAGGCCTGTGGGGAGCATCTGGGGAGTGTGTGTGTGGGAATGCAGTTGGGGCCAGCCTGTGGGGGCTGCCTTTCCTTGCCACTTCCTGGGACTGGCCCTGCCCACATTCCAGAAGGGTTAGGGGATACCCTCCCCACCCCTGTCTGCTCCCAGACCTGTAACCTTGGTCCAAACCCACTCCCTTGGTCCTGGGTACCTAAGGCAGCAGTAGCTGGCTCCAGGGAGGGGCACTGAGATGAGGGTGGAGGCCAGAATGTGCCAAGCATGAGGAGGGGGCTTCCAGAGATGGGGCAGAAGTAGTGGAGGGGCTGGTGGGACAGAGACGAGATGAAAATAGAAGGAGATCCATACAAGAACAAAGACAGGCTGAGAGACTGAGCAGGGCAAAAAGAAAGAGGATGAAGACAGAGAAAGAGAACTGGGCAGAAGGAGGAGAGGTAGGCAGAGAAGGATAGAGACTAGGGGCAGACATGAGGCAGTTGGCCAAGGACACAGGATCAGGGTAGGGCAGTTGGGAAGCAGGGCCCCAGGTGACAGTGGCCCTGCCCCCACCCACAGGCGGGCTGCTCACCTGGTTAGAATTACACCAGAGGCCACTGGTCCTCTGCCTTCCCAGGGTTGGGCAGCCGTGGGTGGGACTGGAGTCAAGACTCCTGGGTTGGGCCCCAGCACCCTTGGCTTGGTAACTCCCATTCCCAATGAGCCTGGAGAGAAGGGCGGATTCCAGTAGGTCTGCTGGGGGTGGCTGTGCCCCGGGGCACTTGCCCAGTGCTTGGGGTGCAGCTGCCCCTGGTGGCATACCACTCACTCCCATCTCACCAGAAGGTTCCTGGCCAGGGGCCTGGCTCCCTAATGTCTCCCCCAAGCGACCCAGGACTGACTCTGGCCTTTGGCATTTCAACACCACCATGCAGCTAGCCACCGTGACCTATTTGGCCACCCCCAGAGGACTCTGGCCTCAAGTAGAAAGCCATGACCTCAATGACCTTCTCCTGACCACCCACAGTGGCCTCATCACCCCAGAAGCAGGCCAACTTGTGAGCCACCACCTGCATTCAGGTTCCACATCAGCCAGTCAACACCACCATCCTTGACCCTCATCTCATTCTTAAGCTCTTTGCCTTGGACCAATGGTTTGGCTCACATCCTCCCCAACTGGCCAAGCCTACCCTGTTCACACTGACTGTTGACTTCCCTTGAGTGACTTCTGGTCACAGAACTAATCTGAGCCACACCCAGGCAGCGAAATGAACTTCCTGCCACCCTAACCTCTCCCTCTCGGGTCCTCAACAATTTCTGCCTGGAGGCTGGCCAGGTGCCAGGAGCTCATAGGGGCACCTTCCTCCAGTCTCCCAGCTCCCTGCAGCCCTTTTGCCGTCATCTCTCTGAACAAGAGGCCCCTTCAGAGGAGGCTCCAGCCCCATTTGTCCCTTCTCAGGCCTCTCCCCTAAGCCCAGGTCCAGCGTCCAGCCACTGTCCATCCTGGATGTTCTGGGTTCTGCTCCCTTCACCTGATTCCTGCTTTTATGTCTCCTGGTCTTTGCACACGCCTGGGGCACCCGTTGCCTCTTCCTCTATTTGGCAAACTCCTATTCCATGGGCAAAGCCTCATTCCAAGTGTCCTCTTCCCATTGGGTCTCCTGGGCTTCCCAGCTTGGGGACTGCAGTACTCCTCCAACCTGGGGTCACGCACACGGGGACGTTGGGGAGGGGCCAGCAGGCAATACCTGGGCGTAGAAGAAGGGGCGCACTCGAGCGCGCCGATGCAGGACGGGGTGGGGGGCGGGGCACGGGCGGCGCCCCCGGACCCGCCTCCTCTTCCGTCAGAAGATATCCGCCGGCGTCAAAACTGCGGCCAGAGGGGCCTGACGCCTCCGCCCCGCCC